ATATATATATATATTGAATAGTGTTTAGACACTCATTTATATATTACCTTGGAGCAATATCATTCTTATTATATATTTATAGTTACTCTTCTATCATTTTCTGCATACATACGTGTCTATTCTAAGAGTTAATCACTTATACATTATCAGTGTAAAAAAATTTTAGATTGACAACCAATCATATCTTTTAATAGTGTCACGTCATTTGCTTATTTAATGAAATAAAAATAAAATAAAATAAAATAATTTAAAAGATATAATTAGTTACCATGTAAAAAACTTTACATTGACAGTATATGGATGATTAACTCTTATTTTAATACATAATCATAATGTCACAAGATTAATTTTTAAATGAAGGGAAATCTTCAATTTATCTAACCAGTTTATTGATTCTATATCTTAGATAATTAACCCGCAAAAGAAAGAAAATAAAATTTATATTTAATTTCCTCAACTTGAAATTTTTTTGTCCATCCACATATACATGTCTTCTAATAATGCAACTTCATTTTCAATGTTGTGGTGGTTGAAAATGACAATAATTGTTCAATCGCTAAGCGAATCCTTTGCTCTGTTCATTGTCTCTCAAATATTGTCATGTTGTGGGTTGTGGCTGATGCTTGCTTGTACGTTGCAGATAAATACGTGCAACTGTGCCTATTGTTTTACATTTTAAGAGTATCAAATTATCTTTATGAAGTTTTACATGTAGATTTACTAGGATTATTTAGATTCCATTTTTGTCATCGCTGTTATAATAATGTTGTAATATTTTTTATTTATAAAAAACTATATTTAAAATTTACTGTTAATATAAGTGGATAATTTTATTTTATTTTATGTATGATTATTTTGTGTTACATTTCTTGTTTACTTTTCACATAATGCTGTTGCAAAGACTTCTCGGACATCAATTTTTTTTTCTTAATGGACATGGACATCATTTTATTTTTAAGTGAGGTGGCGGAATTGAAGAGTGCAAATTAAAAAAAAAAAAAAAAAAGGTAAAATTTGTCAAATTATATAAATCGATATATGTGTAAATATACCTCACCATAATTTCATTTATTATGAAAAAAAATATTATTAATGATAAAAAGATAAACACAAAAATAATATTATATAAATTGTTGTATAATTTTTATCGTGTATATATATATATATATACCATTATTCATATTCTTTCTCGTGAATATAAAGGTGTAGAAGGTTTTACTGCAATTATAATAAATTACTTGCTTTTTGCTGCCTATCATTAATATATCAACCCTTATATTTACTAATTTGAGACTTAATCCTTTTAGTTTCTAAGCTGTTAGCTTTCATCTATAACTTGCTTCCTGTAGTTTATATTTTTCAAGACCTTAATCCTCGAGAAATAAAAAAAATCCAAATGAGTATGCACACCATTATATATATGAAAAGAAAACAGTAAATTAGTAATCAGTAAAATATTTTTGAATTTTTTGTACAACGCACAATCCAACTATAAATCCCCATTCCCAATCAAAAATCGTGTGGTCTCATCTTTGTAATTTTTTTCTTTTGTTCTCATTGTCTTATATCTTGTTATCCGTAATATTTATTCTTGTATTCCTATTATGTATTCTTGTATGAATAATTGGAAATCAAAAGAAAGAAAGAAAAAAAAGATATGATAAATCAATTCATTTTGTTACTCGTTAAACTGTCTATAAGAATGATAAATCAATTCTCAGATATTCAAGTTTGATAGTCCAGGAAGCACATCAGATCTATTTTCCGTGGCCTCATCACTAAAAAACTGACATGAAATGTTAGTTGGTTTTGAATGTAAGCATTGATCAATCCTATTCTCCAACCAAGCAAGTCTTCTCTCAAGGCTCAACACACCAATATGCAAAATCCGAATGTCAACTTGTGCAATCCTGGCACAAGCCCGAAGCAAAATGTAATAGTCAGCATGAGCAACATAGGTAAGGGCACCTTCATCCCTCTTCCTCACATAGTGAATATAATCAAGTCTTTTTCTCTTGACACTAGGTGGTATATAACAAAATCTGTTCTCCTCCATGTCTAATTTCATCTGTCTAATGGCTTCCTTGACATGAGATTTTCCTGAACTGCTTTCCTTGGAATCCGAGTCCTCGTCATCTGAGAAACAACCATGGGAATTATTACCCACACTTCCAGGCAAGTCATCTTCAACGAAGGTTCCATCTTCAGGAAACAGTTCAAAACCTTTTTTTCTAATCTTTTCCTCCTTGGATGTCCTGCCAATGCATCCTTTATCCCTTGACCTTGTTTGGTTAAAAGAAGTATTTGACTGCTCCAAATTTTCTGATTGTTTTATATCCTGAAACTAAAAAACAGAAAGAGAAAGTGTTATACACTTATACAACGCATTTTGATAGACATTCTTCATAATGTACTTAGGAAACAAAAACAACTCCTGGAAATTGGAAACTAGACATTGCAAGGCAGATAGACATTTAAAATTAATTTTATTTAATAAAATGTATCCTACATGACATTTCAGAGATGATGGAAACAAAATATTATAAGTATAATAGTTTGAAGAAAATATTCATATAGGAGATCTGCAAAATTGTTATCTCCCAAGTCTGCAGTCACTGAGCATCTATGACTATAAATTGAAATATCATGCATGCAGCTGACTCGTGATTAAATTGAGCCTTACAAAAATCATAAATAGGTATGTAATAAATTTGATTGGTGAAACCAAGTAAATGTATTCAAATAGTAATATGTAGGGGAAAAGTAACATGTCATTTTTTAGTAAGGTTTCCCAATCAATTACATCAAAATAGAAGTTTAAAAAAATTAAAGATAGATAAATGCACTATACACATTCAATTCTTTAATTACCTCTTCATTCTGATAAAAATTCCATAGGTATTCTATCATATTTTCTTCCTCATGATTCCCATAAGATGGTTCTGATCCAGCAAAGACAACATCCCTACAGTATTTGAGATATGTAGGCAAGTCCTTCGAATACCCTGTCCATAAGTTATGGGTCTTAAATAGTCATTTAATTGTTGTAAAAAAATAGGACGAAATAGGTTCTACAAGATAATAATATAAGTAAAAAAATTTACCATAGGCATCAGCAATCTCGTTATATCTTGCTTGAAGGTGTTGAAGAAGCCAGGCTGAATCCAATTTATGTTTTTGAGGTCCTCCTAGATCTTCAGCTGAATCTTTAGATTCTATACCAAAATCATGTCCATTTTCGGAGGCAAAAGCATTACCCATTTCATTGTTGTCTTTGGCATCGTCAGTACGATACAAACTCTTCTCCCATTCTCCAAAGCCATTTATGTTATACAATATCCTTATTGCTACTACCAGAATTGACATAACGCATACATGAGTAGGTAGCTTAAAATAATTACTGGATAAGGATAACCACAAATCTGGAGGCATCG